TACAGGTGTAATCCACAACCTTTACCGAGGATCGTAACCTAAACTAGGATTTCATTTGTGGGCGGTGTATTGCCATTTCTAATCCAGTGGTTATCGTACCATTCGCTCTAACAATCAGTAACTCGGCATTTCCCCAACAGACTGGACTTTCTAACGGAGATGCCCGTTGTTTGCTCTGAGGTATTCAGATGATTTTCCTTCTCAAATTACTTCAAGATCTCTGAAGTTCATCATCCTCATTATGAACTTTGTAGAGTTAGGCCATTCCTGTTCCTTTAAACCCCAAGATGGTGGCCATTCAAATCCCGAAGCTGCTCAATCGAGTTCACGCCTCTAAACGTGTTTCTCTAAGGTGTATTAATATCTTAACAGCACAGATAACTGATTTCTGCTTAAGGAAGGGAAGTACGCTATAAGCAGTCTCTCTTTAGGGTAGGGGTTTTTATCACCCCCCCCCATGTTTTTTCATATGGCCGGCTAACATTTTCTCTTATATTATGTCATTGTATAATAAAAACAGATGTCGCCTAATTTAAGTATAGAATTCAATCTTAAATGAACAATAAAAGCAAGTCCAAAATCTTTTAACTTATTTGCATATTTGTCGTTTATTTTTAACGACGCTGTTTGTAGTTTACACTACATAACGTCGAATGACAAGTGAACTGGAAGATACACAGAAGGAAGCGACCGTTGCATAATAAAGGTATTGTCCTGGAAAGTACCTGGACGGCCTTAGGAAAACCACGAAAAATATCAATCAATCTTGCCGGTCCCTTGTTCCTATTTTCAACTAAAAGGGGTGAACATAACCTTTTCAGTTTGTCTGCATTCTTCAGCATAACCACAACAGTCAGTAAACATATGCAAAGGAATTTCATTGTTTCCTTGAGCTATGTAACTCACGTTTTTCCTCTGAACGTGCTTGTGTCTGTACGTTATCTGCTCATGCAACTTCAATCGCCTTGACGAAGCAGTGTTTACATGGAATGGGAGGAGGGAGTCGGAATTTGTGGTACCCATGACCGATCACACAGACACATGCACTTGGTTGGGTAGTTGTTGAATTAGTCCTTATACTGTACGCTCATAAAAGACGAAGTCTCTTGTGGAGGGAAACCTCCACTCATTCTTAACGGCACAGGAACGATTCTCCGGAACGCGGTGAATAATCGGCGGGGTGGACCATGGTGTAGATCTGGGCGTTGCCACGTAGGGAAAACGTCTACCCTGTGCAGCGAATCGAATACTGGTCGTCTAGCCAGTCCATTTTATCGACTGAGCATTACCGAAGGAGGCAGTATGTATCTCTGAAACGTCGGTCAACGTTTACGAGACTGTTCTGCTCAGTGTCCCACAAGACGTCATCTTCAAGGAAAACACTGTTGGCTATGACTCTGCCAACAGTGGGGTTTTGTTATGCAATAAATGAACATCAGTATCGCTAAGAAAATATTTGGAATAAATGTGCCAGTAAATATTTCTACTGTTGGCCATGTTAGTCCGTAACATTCCGTGTTATTTGCAAATGCTCTTCATTCTGTCTGAAATGTTCCGGCACCTTCGTAATTTTTAGGATATTGGAAATTTGTCTTGAAATGAAAAAAAGAAAGGGGGTGTAGGCTTTGCAAGCAGCTCCACCTGAGACAGATTCCCACGCCTGGCAAGCCTGTAGTTTCTTGTTCTTCTGAGATGAGGCTCATATGCCACTTCCTGCTGGACGCGTTATACACCGCAGAATACCCTTGTGAGGAAAGATATGATTAACTTCAGATGTGGGCTGTTTTAAAAATTCTGTACATTGACTCCCAAGCGATAAGTATTGTGATGTAAGAATGAAGAAGAAACAGAAGTAAAGACGAAGGGCAAGAAACCGATGGCGGAGGAAAAAGAAATAATTTGATTGAATAATAAACCGACAAGTGCTTTTCAGCATTATATGCATAACCAGTACAGCACCCCTCCCGCCTGATGGGTCCACCCATACGTCTCCTCCAACAAGTGAAATTCTTCCCCTGCGCTTCACAAAACCTCTGTTTATTGTCGACTGGAAACGTGAAACCGGAATGTGCAGTCTGCAGGTTTCCCTGCCTTGTGAATGCAACAGAAGACATTCCTTTGGCACAAATGTGGCAGTTTTTCAACATGGCCCCATCATGGCCCAGCCTTCACTGTCCACTTGCCCTTACCGAAGGGGCAGGCTTACAGACGTGAATTTCTGAAATTATTGTAATGGAAAGGAGTGGTCAGCTGAAACGGAAGTATAAAGTTTTTTTCAAGTGCGTTATGTGCGACTTCACGTCTGTGCAGTCTTGATAATTTATTACAGATACATAACACAGCGCATAGATATTGTATTTCGTTAATCTTTTGAAGACGGATATCATGTAAATAACGTTTAAAGATTTAATTCCTTAAAAAAAAAACAGCCCTTCTCCATTACGTGCATGAGCGAGCCTCTTACTAACAAAGATTTTCTTGAGTGTGTGATGTACTAACATCACAGGCTAATGCAAAAACACTGGAATAAAATGTTTCCGTTTCTGACAAAGGTGTAGCGTAATTAGTTATAAAGTTCAATAAATTATAACTAACACGAGATTAAACAAAGATGGAACTGTCGTCCGTGTGAAATGTTGCAAATGGAAAATGAAACTGCACCTTCAGGCTTTTACTTTGTTACCTCTTACTTCTTTCCGTCGTGAATGACTTTTTGTTATTTTCTTGCCTAGTAAGGCCTGGCAGTACCCCGATGGCTGATATTGATTCACAGCATTGTTACGTCAGAGCAGAGATCTTGCTGCTGTGGCAGTTTTTCGATCGCCTGAACTCGATCTAGAATAACCAGTTTGCTCGCGGAGGAGCTAATGACCGACGAGCACAGTGCTAAGGAACGTACTGATCCTATTTCAGCGCATGACCAGGCTACCGTGTATTAAAGCCATGTTCCAACACCAGCGGATCAAAGATTTTCGTATTTATTTTATATGTATCAAAGAAATATATACCACAGATTGAGGAATTTGCTGATACCGGTATTGAAAGTACCGTTATTAGTCTCTGCGTCCTAGGCAGCTACCATGCTGCCTACCCTTCGACCCGGTTTTGTCGTGTGATTATTTCGAGTTCCAAACTAGCCATCACGATGTCTGTGGAGTGAACTTAAATACATGCCAAGTAGATAACTACCTATTCTGTGTACCACCAGGTTCAGATTTCTTTTAAGGCAAAGCAACAGGAAGTCGCGAAATCGTTTCAGTAATTTAGTAATTCAGTGATAGTTATTACTTTATTGCCGTTACCGGCGTCGGTCTTCTCCATAATGTGGCAGGGTTTTACCTTAACATATATACTGGAGGCGCAAATAGCCTTAGAAGTTGACGCGCTTCTAAACCCACATTCTCACAGGACTAAAATTTCAATGCAAGAAGCAAAATATCATTTGTGGGCCTTGGAGATTTTCTTCGCGTTTGACGTAGCTAGACTTTAAATTAACTGCTTTACATTTTGAACAACTACTTGCCAACTCGATATTTTTTCCTCATAACAGTTGAACCTACTTTTAATTGTATGTGTGTAATTAAATTTTTGATGCTGTCCTTTCATTTCTCTGATGATTCGGCTCGGATCTGAAAGTCAGATTATAAAATTGCCCTGTAAGTTGGCATAAACAAGTTTGACAGACCCGGAACAGGACTAAATAATGCATTAAAAGAGTCTAAAAGAAGCGGTTGCGGTCTGTTTTAATGTATTATCCGTGAAAATTCCTCTGTCAACCTAGCCGATTACCACGACAGAATAAGAGTGCTAGTAAGTACGTTCAATCACTATCGGTCCGTGATATGTTTATGACTATCGTCATTGTAAGCTATTTTGATCAGATGAAGCGACCATCGTGGTGACCTTGCCCGAAGCAAGAGGCTGTGCACGGCGGAGAACTGCCAGTCTGACTGCACTACTCCGTCCGTACCATATAAGGCATTCGTAATTTCTCATATATTTATTTATTTATTATTAACTGCAAATGGGTTTATACCCGGTGGCAGTGGTGCTACAATAAGACACAAACAAAATAAAACAATTCATAAGATTACAAAACCATAAAGCACACACATTACACAAAATAAAAACAAGTATTTAAACACAACAGATAACCTAAAGTAGATAACTTAAAAATTAATACCGAATCCACAAACTCTAGAATGCAGTTGGCTCAGTCTTCTCGCTCCTCCTCGGTTTATATGTAATCCATCCCTACCGAAGTTCCAATCCTCAGTCCAACTGTTCGGATCTAAAGGAACTCCCATGGTCTTTGTTATCCAGTCGTATCTGACGTTTAATGCTCCGATACGCCGCCATGACACGTCTCTGCGCCAAAGTACACCATTCAGAACTAATTTGGATTGGGGAACTTAGTGTTTGCCTTATTCACAAGGGCCCATCACATAATCCAGATTTGCAGCTCTTCTTAAATATTTTGTGCCCACATGAATTATGACAGTATCTCATCTCCCTAGATCTCTGTTCTTCATAACTCTTTACAGCTGTTCAGTTCTAATTCATGGAAATCACTCCACCATCATATTTCTATGTTCAGTTCGCACGTCTCGTATTATAGAGTCACCCAACAGTAAGCACTCTGCACCTCCCCGATGTTTCTGCGCCATATTACGCCTGCTAACTTCACATCCCGCTGCCGCCCCTCGCAACTGCTCTTCCAGTATCTTGTTCTGCCGTTTTAGATATTTTTTATTTTTTAATTTTTTAAATAATTACAGTAAAAATATTTTTTTAAAAAATAACTCTTGTGGTTCACAAACAACAAACTTAAAAATATATATTCAATTTTTTCCACATGAAAAGTTACTTTGAAATTGTATTTTTATAATCAAGTTAATTATATAATGTAAATAAATTCACATTACTGAGATTGCACTATATTTCATTGTTATGATCTGCAACAATACAACTGAAAAATTATGTTAGTCAGCGAGCATTGCTTCATCCTTCTCTTGACTGGTGAATATGCTACGATACTGAACTTCATGACAGCGTTACACAGTTGCTTTGCCATGGCATTATGCATCTTCCATACAAGGTTCCATGGTCTCACATCTGTCACAAATGGAACAGTCTGGTTCTTCTTCAGATTCTTACGTGCAGCAGAATGAGCAGAGCTGTTGCAAGAGGACTCATACGCATTGCGTCCTGAAAAGTGTACTGACCGGTGGGCTGATGAATTGGAATTTTCTGAGCTGGATTCAAACCAGTGAGCCAAGCTCTCTTTCTTGGACTGTTCTAAATGTCTCCCAGTCAAACCATTGTTTTTGTTGTGGGTTGAGTCCTCTGATGATGGTGGTGATAAAGATGGCACAGATTCCCGGCTTGGAAAAGAGAAAGAGGATTGTTCTTCAGGATGTTGACCTACATCTGCTATAATATTCTTAACAGCAGAGATGACTGTACAAATCAATCACATGAAATAATCGCAGTCAATCGCGGTTACCAACGAATTGCCGATTGTAAGTGTATACAATATATTTTTTAAATTCCCTTTATTTTATTTACGTTATTTCAGAGCTTTAAATGTAATGCCATTATTTCACTCATCAATGTTTGGGGTGCTGGGAACGCATGTCAGTGACTTCCAATTGATTTACATTATAAAATAGTTTCAATTTACGCCGATTCCGATTACGCCGCTTCGTCCAGGAACGCATCCCCGGCGTAAATCGAGGGCTACCTGTATGTATAAACCATACCAATTTAGCTGTGCAACTGTTCTCGTCTACTTACACAGAAATTTCACTTACAACCGTACTCAGTAAGTCAGTCAGTCGTAGTGTTTCTGCCGGGACCTGCGCAAGTGATGGACTTTTCAACAAAAATTCCGTTGCCAGATGGTCGGCCTGCCATAATAACTGTTCTGGTACTGTTTGGCATGCGGAGTGACGACACAGCTGTTCCCAAACCTGCAAATTATCTTGCAGCCGCTCAGTAAAGAAGTCAGAGACGCGGAGTGTTTAATGTTTCATATTGCATCCGTAAACTGAAATTGCTTTGCAGGGGGTGGAAGAAGTTTGTGAGTCTACGTGCTCGGTGTTCTGACAAGAATTAATCATTCATAATTGTGCTCAAACTTTCCCCATAAAGCGGCGGACGTGTAATGTAGTTTACAGAATGAAGCCTCGTCCACAATATGTAAACCACGGGAAAGGCTACCCTTTTAAACGCATTGATACACATCAGGGATGAACAGTTTGCCTGTGAAGTAGCCACACTGCTGCGTCATGTCCGTGGGTCCACCCCCCACGCACACAAAGTGAGTAAAATGAACGCCGAGCTTATCTCCAAATACTTCTCAAAGGAGTTCCATAACGTTAACATTTTGTACTGGGGAAAAGCGAAGTTATCCTCGTCTAATTGCACTGTACAACTATAATTATACAGATGACTCTCGGTTTACGTGCTTTCGATATCCGCGATAATAGCAGAAGCTGCTACACAGGCTGCCTGCATGTAACAAGGCGCCTGTAATTGACACAGCGTGGTTGCTAGTGAATCCAGGTTACCGAGTAGTGATTATAAGTCGAAAGTGCATGGAAGTAGATGTGAAATATATTTGTAGGCACTCTGAACATTATTTAAGACGACTCTGAATGACACTGTGTAATCTGGTAGAATTTTACCAACATTTCAGAAGTCCTTGCTGCTTCCCATCATCAGGGCAATGTGGGGCTTGGTGATGATAAATATTAAATACACACATTTTAGTGGGGAAGAGACCGTTGGGAGACGTATGCCTAGATAGGAAGATAACATTAAGATGGATGTTGTACAGATTGGATTCAACTAACTCAGGATAGGAAACAGCGGGCGATTGTGTCACATGGTGATTAAAGCTTGTGTATCAAATATGCGGTGACCAGCTGAATGAATTATCATTTGCTCAAGGGAGACTGCGCCGTGGAAACAGTTACTTCGAGTCTGACTTGTACGCTGTGGCCACGTAACTATCCTAGGTTTCCTATCGATTTCTGTGTCCTAAGGGAGAGACCTCCCCTTCCCGTTGTCTCGGAGGCACGGGGTCTTTCATGACTCTTCGTGGTTATTCAGCTGATAAAAAACTCTCGGCTTTTATGGAACTATAAAGTTTATCACCACGGCAAGACCAGCAGCCACTGGACTACCTTCAGCCCACGTAGCGTAGTCCGTAAATTCACAACTTATTTCTCAAACGTTCCATTTTAGTCGACTTATTGTTATCCTGTCATTACAATTTGCATAGTCTAATTGCTTTCTTCCCATGATGTTTCACAGCCACAATTTTGGATGTATTTCATATTTCTCCAATGAGTGCCATGATCCACCAGTTTTATCGTCTGATTCTCCCCGAGGATAGGTTATTCATATGACGATAAAGACGTCTGAAGCTCCTTATTTAACAGCTGCTCCTTTCTGTCTTATTCTCTTCGGTCCAGATATATTTACCGCTATCAGTGTCGGTTTCTTAAACGTCATTGTCGTCGGTCCTCGTCTCTTCCTTCTCCTTTGTATCCATTAGACTAGAACACTGGGCCATCTGCTGTACCATATCATTTTTTTTGTGTCATCCAAAACCAAAGTTAGCAAACCCGTTTTTTCCTGTAATTAGCTACGCTATTTGGGGTTCAGTCTTAAGGACTGTATATGGCGGCGAACGGAAATACCCATCACTCCAGGAGATAGTAACTCAGACTCGAAGATGCTTGAGGTCAAAATTAATTTGTTCCTCCCATCATTACCTATTCACTCAGCAGTTCCCAAACTGTAGGAAATGTTATTGTATAATGTGTTGTACGCCCTAAAATACCGCTGTAGTTTATTAATTAAATAATCGTGTAGAAATATTTCTAAAACAAACTGAATTTCTTTCCCCCATACCAGCAGGCCTATCCTTCTTTATCTCCCATTGCTATGTGCATGGAATACACACAGAAGAAGATAAGACTAAAATTTCATAGTCCAGTCACAACCAACACTGAACAGAAACCGGCGACACTGCTTTAAACATGCAGCATCTGGCCATTCAGTTTATCAGAAACACCTGGAAACATTAGTCCGAATTTGCCCTAATGGGTTTATGATTTTTGCCACGTATCCAACAGTGTTTCGATGTCACTGTTCTTGTGTTATTGTGAGAGACATCTGTAGGCTTACCAACATATTTAACCTGCCCAAATATGGGCTTTTGAGGCTACATTTTGGATAATGAATACAGCCTATACATAGAAACAGTGAAACTCGACATCATGAGAAATCATCGATAACCGACTCTGCATTTCAGCCATATTAAACTCAGATACATACAATAGCTGAGGTCTTACATACACTGCAACCTTCCTCTCATAAGACTCTCGCCACTCTAAATTTAATAGATGTCCTTATGTGCCTTCTCAAAAACAAAAAACCCTTACGACCCGATTACATATTATGAGATGTGTTCAGCGTCTGATTGCTAGCGGTCATTTTTTGTGAAGTATGTCAAGAATTTTGGGCTTAAAACCAATTTTGCGTCACCTTCGATACTTCATAGACACCGAGAGAGACCAAGGCCCAGAGACCTAGTCTCCATCACGTACTGGTCGTGCCGACTGAACCTATTAAGTTGTGCACTCTGTGGTATAAAAATTAAAACAACACAAAACACGGACTAAACCATCCTTCATGAACGATCATTTAGCCATATTAGTGTTGGCTACCTTCAATCTGTGCCGTGTTCTGACGGCTACCTCATCAAATCCAAATGCCTGACAAGGTCGCTAGCCTCTTTGTTACTGTTGAGGTGGGTTAATACTTTCTTTCTCAGTCGAACTGCGGCCGTTTTACGGGTCCATTGCACATCCCCCAGATGATACATGAGTCAATGTGTAGCAGTGATATTGGCAGGGGAAAACTTAAGGACTCTGAGAGAAACCTGTACAAGTGCCATTTTGTCCACCGCGAACCCTAGTCTCCGCTACGAGAAGCCGGCAACGAACCGCCTGAGCTATGGAACGGGCGGCAAGGTAGCATACTGTTATCACAACGGTCTGGTGTCGACAGATATGATAAAACCGTGTAGATGTTACAGCGGGTAGGTTATAACAGATAAGTTTTCAGTTCCACTCACGGTTTGCGCGTCGCTCCTATTGCCAGGTGCGAGGCTCCAAGTTCTGCCTTTGATGAACGCTGTATCAACTGTGATCGTGTACAAATCCTTCACATCACAAATACTTTCAAATGAACGCGATCACAAGAAAACTGTATCCAAACACTTTGTATTCCAGCATAGAGTTCAATAGTAGAGCGTCTTTTTGTAACATATATCACAGATTCGAAGAAACTGATACAAGCATAGGTACAGACTTCTTCTTAAATTACGCCATGTACTAGCTTCGTGCCCAGAGCTTAGCAGAAAAACAGTTCCCTGAAAATATCCACAGTGATCGTTAGTTCCTGAAAGATCACTCAATTTGCAGAATTCTATAAGTAAGACCAAGAAACTGATTTCATGACAAAATACCACACATTTAAAGTACGCGGTTAAAAAAGTGTTATTGCACACAGTTGCGATGCGAAAGCCATGTGAACCGAAACGCGCTGGTCCAGTTTGCTACTGAAATTTAAGTTTTACCGTGCTAATTGTCCCCTTTTATTTCGCACTGCTCGCCACGAAATTCAGAGAAATAGTGACCATTGTCATTCATTGACGAATCATACGCAGAACCCTTACATGCGAATATTATTGGACCCAAGGACGAAATGGGAACTTATCTTGTGAAGTGTTTGACTAAAATTACGTGTGAATTCACAACAGGATGCAACACAATAAATTCAGACTTGCCATAAATATCAATAACCGACTGATTAATAAAACCTTTTCAGGCTACCAGCCGAAAAATTTATTAATGTTAGTCGTCGTGAAATGGGAGTACAGTGGGACCGTACATCAGTTGATTATAGATTTCAAAAACACCTATTACTGTTAAGAGAGAAGTGCTATACAATATTCTCATTGAATTTGGTGTACCAAAGAAGTTAGTGAGTCTAGTAAAAATGTACTTAAGAGAAACCTGTAGCAAAATTCGTATAGGTAAATATTTATCAGACTCATTTTCCATCAAGAACGGTCTGAAATAAGGATTTGCTTTGTCTCCATTGCTCTGTAACTTTGCGTTAGAACACGCCATCAGGAATGTCCAAGATAGGCAGGAGGGTTTGCAATTGAATGGGGCACATCAGCTATTGGCATATGCTGATGATGTTGATTTATTGGGTGACGATGTAAATACAATAAAGAGGAACACAGAAGGTTTACTAGAAGCGAGTAGAAAAGTGAGGCTAGAAGTAAATTCATAAAAAACTAAGTACATGTTAGTATCCCGTACGCAGACAGGCGGAGAAAATCATGTTAGGGTGGCTATTAAATCCTTGAAAGTGTTACAAAGTTCAAATATTAGGGAACAGCTATAACAGATCAAAATGATACTCATGAGGAAATTAGGAGGAGACTAAATTCCGGAAATGCTTGCTACTTTTCAGCTCAAAATATTTTGTCTGTATTATATAACTATAACTGTTCATATTTCAGATGAAACGCTAGTAAACAACAAATACTTACAAATCATAGAGTGGCCATGCTTTGAAGCAGAAGAAGCAAGAGGAATTACAAGTAGGTTAGATAAAATGTTCAAATACGATCTCTTAATTCGTGAGTTTGCGTTATCAGTCACATTTCGATTCATAGGCCTATCCATAACATCTCTCGGACCGATTACAAGGAACTCTGACAGGTTTTTCTGTCGCGTTCATCAGTCCGTCGGGTGAATAGAAAGATAAGTACCTCCATGGGGCACAGTCCGTCACAGAAAACTAAACAACATGTACAGTTAAAAGAGTTTTGTATATTTTAATCTTTACGTTTCTAGATTGAACAGTGCCATTTAAAACCCGAGAATCATTAAACTAAAATAAAAAATTACTAGTTTATTGGCTCTTGTGTACATTAACACATATTTAACCTGTGTTAGTAGGGAAATCTACATTTTAGATAGTTCAGAATCGTCAACACGGAAATCCTAGCTTCGCACATAGGGGCGCCACTTGGACCAAGAAATAATTTGACTTACACTGTCCCGAAATACTACGAGTACCTTTAATTATAATTAATAAACATAAAAGTCATCAATACTTAAAAAGGAAATACAACTTACAGCAGTGCCGAGTTCAGTCACGTACAACAGCACAAACACTAAAGACTGCGAAGGCCGAGGGCACAGCTAGAAGACAGGCAACTCGTGGGAAGTGACGTAGGCTTATGCTAGTGTTCGAGAGTCGATCCATAGGGATGCGAATTATTCGACTATTCAACGCAATATATATCGACATCAAACCATCGCAAGTAGCATTTTCTCCGCCCCCGCCGCAGACACTAAAATATTACATAATCGACTACTTGTCTGTTTAGCATTTTTAATAATTAGTACATGCTTTTTCCTGACACTAAAGTCTGATGATTTCCAGGCTTCTAGTGAACTCCGTAATGTCACGTGATTTGCCATCACAAACAACACATTAGGAACGTTTCATAATCTGCACATTTTTTGCCACTGAACTAAAATCTGACAGGTAGTCACGCTTTCCAGCGGAGATAATAATGTAAGGATACAATTGCCGTTTATTATGAAACAAACGAAAACCATACACTGCGAGTGAAATGTGCACTGTGTAATAAACGGTAAAGTAAATAAATGTATGTGTTTTGTGCTTACAAAATTACAACTTTGCAATATTGTGTCACCGTGTGCGTTGTAAATTAATGCCTGGTATCAGAAAACAGAGCCAGGTGGTCTAGCGGTTAGAACGCTGGCCTTGTAATCCTGGGTCTCGGGTTCGATTCCCGGCGGTGCCCGAATTTATAACTTGTGTTGGGCAAGGCCGTGGTCTAGGCAACACGGAGTTTTCCTCCGGGGGCTTCCCCGGTTTGTCCGTGGCATCCCAACAATTACTCCATTCACACACACAGAAGAAGGCAATGGCAAACCACTTCTGGATCATCTGTCAAGAACGTATATGAACAGGTCCCAGTCCGAGAAAAGGATGGAAGGATCCTGTTCATATGGACCTGTCGTCAGACAGAACACTAAATAAATAATAATATCAGAAAACACGTCTGGTTAATGCCGTCAGTATTTGGCAGTAATTATCTTTGTGACGATCTGTCCAGCGTAATGAAGAACTGGGACGTGTCTTTCTGATGAACGTTTGGAATCCCAACAGAAATTAAACCCGATGCTAACGGATTAAACAAAAGCAGTTTAAAATTACCCACTAAAGGCGGATTCTGTCAAAGAAAATTGTTAAGTAAGATGTGAATCTGTTTACAGTAGTGAGCTTAATTTAACAGATTCCTTAATAAAATTGCCATGGCGTTTCTGTCCTATTTATAACTTTGCGGCCTGCGAATTTATCAGGAAGCGCAAATGTGGGCCCAGTGGAAAAGGCTGAGAACTCGTGCCTTTTAAAAAAACAAAAACAACAACAACTATTCCGACTTTCCCCTGGAGATTCTGACGAAAACTACAAAGAAGCTCACAAATTATATTATTGATAGTCGAGTAGGATATTGTAGGATTATTATGAACGAAGATTAGCTAGGGACGCGCCAGGAAGCAGTCGTGACCTTCTGTGACAATAAACCAATTAACCTGTAAGCACGAAGCTCATATAAATGACAAATTAAAAAATTAATCCCTTCCTCAAAAAAATCACAACGCGTCTCCATTACGAATATCAATTGGTTTATGTTGTTTGGGGAACTGTTTATCCCTAGAATCTTATGAAACCCAAAAAAACACTGTGTGGGAAAAAGTCAATGTTAAAGCAGGTGGTACATATAGTAACCATTGTAATTTAAAGGATTAAAAGAGCAATTTGAATAGCAATTCATGGCCCCCAAAAATAAGTGAGAAACGTGACAGCCCATTTTTTTGCATGCCAGTGCATGCAATCTAATTGCTTTCCTGTGCTTCATCGTAATGTCGCTTGTACGAGCAGTAACATGCCGGAAAGAATGGATGGAGTCTGACCCAGCTGGAAATAAGAGGTGAGTGTTTTGGATACATCAGATTAATGCGCTGCAGCATTTTGTGTGTGTGTATGGGGTGGGGGGTGAAATTGTCGAAGTTCCAATAATGTGAACATGGAACGGGTTTCTATTAGCAGCTTTAAGAAGCCCAATTTTCAATTTTTAAACGTTTAATCCCGCCAGTCCTTGACGAAAGAACTGCAGCGATGATGTCCAGTTGCCGCAGGAAGTTGTCTCCGTTTACAAAGCTAAAAGGAGCAGATTTTTTGGCCAAAGGTCGTTGGAGCGAATGGGAATGAGACATAATCCCAGCCTGCTATTCCCGACAGTTTCAGTAACGTGCTATTGGATGCAGATGACAATGTTTGCTGTCGACGCCCTCCTCTGACTCACGCAAATAGAACACACCCTATCCAATTATGGAGGTCATGTAACAGGGGGAGAAAGCAAGTAAAATCCAGGATCCAGTCAGATATCATGGTTAATAACAAAACAAAGGATAAAACATATGTTTGTTTCCAGATTTGGAGTGAGTTATACAAAATTTTCCTCATGCTTTCTTTGCGATGTTAACTTGCTCATTGGCCTTGATTTGCTAATGTTCATATACCGCCGACACAAACCTAGTGTTAATTGAGCCGAGCTCCTCCAGATATTTAACAACTCATTACGTTCCTCAAAGGAAACACATCTTTTCCATTGCAAAAATCAGTTGGTTAATGTTGTTCATGTAAGTATTCGCTGTTTATTCTGAAAATCGTACGAAACTTATAAATGCATTATGTGGACAAAATACAGTTATTGGAAGAAACGCAGGTAGTACTGCATATGGGCATAAAAGTATTCGTTGTTCGTATTTCCCTGTTTATTTTTTGGAAAAATATTTCTAATGGAAGTTACATTTCTTAACGGGGCCCGTATTTTATGTTATACTAATTATTTTTATACGATGATCCTTACCTTTTTAAAGAAATTTATGAAGTCTAATTTGATCTTCATGTAGGGGTTTACAGTAACCGATACGAACCAACATTTATGTAGCCAGAGTTTAGTGCAGACGACCTAATTTCAATTTCATCGAAATCCGCTGGATAATTCCTGAATTGAAAAGTGAAGACCGATGCGATTTCCCCATTATGTCTTTATTTTATGCCCAAAGATGACAAAGTAAGGGATGCAGAATGTTGTGCTTGTCAGACTCTTTGTCATTTACGTTGCGGGACTCAGACCGACATTTTTGGTACACTTATTTCTTCGGGATCGTAGTTTTCTCTTCAAACCACTGTGGTACCACATATGTACAACCTGTCATAAAATTAAAGAGCTCTGCATTTGCCCAGAGTGTATTTATGGGGTTCGTATGATTCTCAGAATCAACAACGATTATTTATTTAAACAGTAATAACCAACTGACCATTGTAGTGGAGACGTACTTTGTTTTCTTTGAGGTCGAACTGTTTAGGTAATTTTCGAGCTAAAAGGGTAATGTACAAATTTCCCGTACTCAGAGACAGTAGGAAAAATTCAGATGTTTCTTTATTCGGTTATTTTACAACACTGCAACAACTCTTGCGATTACAGAGTGTTCAGTGAAACATATTTTGTGTTATTGTGCCCAGCGTATGATCCTACGGATTGAGGAGCTTTCTTCGTACCTTTCTTTCGTTCTTCTCCCTGTTCGGACTTGGGCTTGTGATGTAAAACCTGTCTTTACACTTGTCAAGAGCTTAGTCGAGCGTTGATGTGAGTTGGAGCGTTTATGCTCTGCTGTGCTGCAGCTGCAACAACGGGGTCGCTGAACGACACACGAGGGGGCGCCTTGGTGAAAACCACGGGCTTTGTTTTCCCGGTGAGGCATATTGTTAAGACTGTAATTCCACAGTAAACAGACTTGACTGCGTGCTTGACAACCAGGGTTCGATTCCTGGGAGATGCCGGATTGTTGCAGGCCTGTTCTAGGACCTGTCCAGTCTGTTGTCCCGTGGGTACGGAGGGCTCATCTTATGGGGGTAAAGTGACCGAAGCGTGAAGCTGACGAGTTCCATTTATTACCAACGTTATGAATGCACGGCGCTTCTACGCAGGAACAACTTTACCTGTTTCATTTCGCTCTTCATTTGGTTTGTCATGATTTCTGATGGTGTAGTCGAGACAGGCTATACAGACACGATTTTTTCTGACCTTCCTCGCCTGTGAAAGAAATGCAGGAACAGCACAAAAGCGGCGTTTATCAACCTGTTCCTCGTGACAGCACACAAAAATTTATAACAAAAAATACCGAGTCGTGTGTCACGCTAAGTAGTGTGTAAATTAACTGTGGTAATTGTATTCTTCATACGCTGCGTCGTCATGTTATAAATTTTTACGTTCGGTTTTGTAATATACATTCCAGGTCTTTGAATAATGTCTAACATACCATTTTAGGACAAGGGTGGCGGGGAAATAAATATGAAGATCAAATAGCTATTTAAAAATCGAAAGATGTAGCAAATATAAAACAATATGGACAACATCCAAGCAGCAAGATTTTATTAAAGAAATAGCAGTACATGCCAACGAAATGAAAAGACAAGGACGAACAAGATCTCAGTGTTACTACCACATGTTGTAAATTATTCTTAAGTATGCAGAAACGTGTTTAAAAAACGATGCTCGCGTTGGTTAAGGACGCTATATACAATTGGTCTGCAGATAAAAGTTTTGAGAAGCATCACCGCGTTATCAGCGGCCCCCAAACAGCACACACAGATTCCATGTCTCAGTCCGGATGAGGGATGACTCAGTTGAGATATGTCGGAGGGATGAACCCTTCGCGGAGTGAGGAACCAGCCCCTAGGGCCGTTTAATTAGCTCTGATGTGGGGGCATATGATACTAGGGGAATCATTGTACTAAGCCAAATGACCAGCTACTGGATGTGGGATGTCCCTTTCTCAGGAAACAGCGGCCAGTGAGTCTAAAGGCTACAAGAACACTGAAAATGCGTGTTCGAACACCGCTGGAGCCATAGAAATGTGCGTAAGTTTTTATGTTTCTGTGTGTCGGTCCCACATCCACGTTGCCTGT